CCTAGACTATGTCAGTGGAGAGAGAGAGAGAGAGAGAGAGAGAGAGAGAGAGAGAGAGAGAGAGAGAGAAACAGAGAGAGAAACACACACACAGACACACACACACACACACACACACAGAGAGAGAGAGAGAGAGAGAGAGAGAGAGAGAGAGAGAGAAGCTTTGGCCAAGTTCTCCTGCTTGCTGGGGCTGGAACATGACCCTTCATTCAATTACATTTTCACCAGCTTTCTGTCTTTCTCTGCCTAAATTTGGCTGTCCTGAATGTTGCTCTGTAGATTAGACTGGTCTCAGACTCAGAGATCTGCCAGTCCTTGCTTTCCCAGTGTTGGAATTAAAGGTGTGCCTTTCTTTAATTTCTTTCCACAAGTTGAAATCTAGCTGGGTGGAATCTTGCCCTGAGATCACCACTCCCTTTATTACATTTCTTAAGCCACTTATCTTCTTGAACACTGAGTTTAGTTCTATTTCACTTCCTGGTGCTCTTTTTCTCCTCCAAATTTACTTTTTGCAATTTCTCCTGCTCAGCTTGCTCCTTTTCACTGTAAGTCTTCATTAGAGTTACCACCAATATCCACAGCACAGTGTCTATACTAGACTGTTTTGAGATTTCTTCTGCTAATGAAATTAACCCAAAACTCTTCACTTTAGCCTCAAAAACCTCTTCAGACAAGAGCAAAAGGCAATCACTTTCTTCACCAAAAATACCACAAGAACAATATCTAGGCAACACACTTAAATTCTTCTCCTCCAAAACCTTTTGAGTGAACCTCCAGCAGTTCAAATAACTCTTATCACCTCTGTATTCCATGCTTTATTAGTATGGTCCATTAGCAATGCTTAAAGCATTCCACTTTTTTTCATAATCCAAAGTACCAAAGTCCAAATTCCTCCCAATAAACACACAGTCAGTGAAATGGATTAAAAATGCTTCTGATCCCTAGGTCGCTGGCAGAAACGCTGCAGGTCCATGAGTGGTGGCAGTAGGCAGTGGGTCCCGAGAGCAGCCAGTCCCAGGCAGGGACTGGCACAGGTCCCTGAGCAGCTAGTAGGCCACGAGAAGAGACAGACTGATGGGCATGCCAGGAGACCACGCCGCAAGTCTCCGAAGGCAGCTGGTCCCCGGGCAGGGAACCATGTGGCCAGCAGGTGAGACACAGATGGATAGGCATGCCATGCCGAATGAGGCTGGATATTTATTTAGTGGATTGTGGAGAACGGGAGGAGAGCAGAGAGAGAGAGAGAGAGAGAGAGAGAGAGAGAGAGAGAGAGAGAGA